CCTCAGTTGATGGACACCTAGGTTGTTTCCATCTTTTAAGCCAATCACTTTTGAGATATAATAGGAGCAGATAGGCCAGAACCAGGCAAGCAAGAATAAGGGAAAGACTGACGCCACGAGGAGATGGCCAGGAACCGAGGAAGAGAAGCTGAAAAGAGACAAGGACCTCCTCCCAGAGAGGACAGAGAGAAACTTCTCCCAGAGCTGGTGGCCTGAATTTGGACTTCTAGCCTCCTCAACTGTGAGAAAATAAATCTCTGTTTGTCAAAACACCCCATGCCCCCACTTGTATATTTCTGTTACGGCTGCACTGAGAAACTAAGACACTTAGGTTTTGTCTGTCTTGGTTTTTCCTCTTCTTACACAGCGAGGCTGTAGCAAGGGCCAAACGGAGTACCAATGTGAAAACTATATGCAGTTCAAAACCCACGTTAATTATTCTCAACTTTTGCATTTTTATTTTTACCATTTACACTATTTTTGAATAGTTAGGAACTCTTCTGAGAGTCTGATGTTAACTGGCTCAGTATAATTGTATCAATTACTGGCTGGTGAAGGTTGCCATCATTGACCTTTAAGAGATTTGTCTATGACATTTTCCATAGACTTTTCCACAACACACACACACACACACACACATACACAGCATCTTTCTTTAGTCAGTGGAGAGGAGATGGCACAGCCTTACCTGATCTAGGATTCTTATCCAATCTCTGACACACACACACACACACATACACAGCATCTTTCTTTAGTCAGTGGAGAGGAGATGGCACAGCCTTACCTGATCTAGGATTCTTATCCAATCTCTGCCCTTCCTACACTGTCCTCTCACGGATATACGGCTCTTTCAAGGATGTAAATCACAGATATAGGAGAAGAAAGGAGGCTGAAAGATGGTCAGCCCAGGCCTGAGGCGGAATTACCTACTCATGGATCTGTCTTCCTCTAGGGCTCCCCCCCCCCCCAAAGCATCAAATCACCTATGAGGTCGATGCTTAACCCAGCCCTAGGACAAAGAAGGGGAAATCTCCTTCCTTGAGCTGAGTTAATTTGGTCTGGAGATATGGTTATTGATTGTGTAAGAGAAAAAATGCAGAAGAAAATCTAATTTTTGAAGCAGTAGGAATAAAAACCAAATTAAACAAATAGATATTTAAAATGCATGTCTCAATTTCAAATGTAGTCAGTTTGTAGAGAAAGTGATATGTGGTGGAAGAAATTAAGAAAGTAAAATAAATTTCGCAAGGACTCTAAGTAGAAACAGTAGAAAAAGACACAGATAAAAGGGGGGAAAAGGAGGAAAGAGTATTAGACACAAAAGGATGAGGAAGAAACTCATATCAGACAAGAGTGTGGGGAACAGAAAGAAGAAAAATGAGATAAATTTAACAAAATATTGTTCCTAATATTTAGCATAAATCATTTTCACCTCCATGTATTTTCCCTCAAAATATGTTAGAATTCAAATCCCTATACCTGTTGATGTAATGCCATTTGAGAATAGGGTTTTCCTTGTTATGTTATAAGGCTGTGTAAGTCCAGGGTGTGTCTTCAACCTAACCACTTAGAGATATAGGAAAAGACAGGCACAGAAGCAAGCTAGCTCGAAGGGGGTAGACAGACACCACGCGGAGCTCTCCCAGGAATGCCAAGAATGCTAGAGAAGCTGAGGTAAGGACTGTCCCCCAGAGCTAACAGAGCCATCCCCTAGAGCCGATGCCCTGAATTCAAACTTCTAGCCTCCTGCATTGTGATAAAAATGAGTTTCTATTAATTAAAATCACACACTTGGGTTGTTTCTGGCAGAGTAGCATGGGATAACTAAGACGACATGGATTATCGTGATGTACAACATGTTGACATGTTCATACACACCTGTCTGCTGCATAGCCTAAGGTGAATGCTCCAGCAAGGAAGCCGAGGTTCAGGATGGCTTGAGTGAAGTCCAGCATCCAAGCATTGACACACACCAGGTTAAACTGGGAAAACAGAAAGCAGACATGGACGTACTGAAATTTTTGCCCTAAAACACCATGTCTTTTGGGTAGCCCAATGATCTTTAAATATTTCTACTTATATACTCCTCGGGAATTCTGGTGGCATAGTGCCTAAGGCATTTTGCTAACAAAAAGGTTGACGGTTCAAACCCACCCACTACTCCTGGGAAGGAAGGTTAGGCAATCTACATCCCTAGTGATATCGCCTTGGAAACCCAAGGCGGAGTCACTATGAGTCGGATCCAACTCCATGGCAGAGCATTTGTTTTTGGTTTTTATATACTCCTTATGTGGATTTGAAAATGTATCCTCTTTTTTTCTTTCTTTCTTTTTTTCATTTTGTGATTTGGGTGAAAATTTACAGAGCAAATTCACTTCCCATACAGCAGTTCCCATACACTTTGTCTCATGACATTAACCACAATTTACCACAATACAACAGCTTCCCTCCCACTTCCTCCCCATAGTTACCTCTTCCCTGTGTCCATCCCTCCACGCACACCTGCCCCCTGAGCTATCTCCCTGTGCATAAACAGCCCTTCTTTCTCCCATGATTGTTCTCTCCAAGGAGTATATCTACCTCAGGTAAATGTTCAACTCCTATGCCTGTCTTTTGCTTGGCTGGAAGCCACAGGTGTGGGTTCAATGACAGACTTGAAGGGGCCATACTCTCAGTGGTTCCACCAGGCTCTATCAGATCAGCAAAACTGGTCCCCTTTTAGAATGTATCCTCTTGCAGACACATTTTTACATTGACATACAAAAATTTTCATTATAAGTTTAAATAACAGCAAAGGATGTAATGCCCAGTATTTTTTTCCCTCAATTCCCAAAGAAGTTTGTAAATCTTTAAGTATTCACAAACAACAACAACAACAAGATACTACTAATAAAATGTGCCATTATAACATGCACAACTTATTTTTATAAGTAAAATAACACAGTTCCAGTAGGTAGGTAGGTAGCTGTACTTGCATACAGGGACTGGGCCACCCTGAGTTGGTTGCCTGCTGGTGGTGGGCACCTGGCAGGAGCCCCCTGCCTTCAGCTCACATGAGAGCTTCTTCCAGTGTTTTTTTTTGGTCCAGTATTTTTAAAGTGTTGTTTCATCATTCTTTTAAATGCATCCACTAGAGTCTAAAGCCATAGCAATTTGATACCAAAGTATACCTGACCCAAGTCATAGTCTTTTCAGTCTCTTCATATGCATGCAAAAGGTGGGCAATGCAAAAGGAAGACAGAAGAAGAACTGATGCAAAATTGGAGAAAAATATTGAATATAGCATGGACTGCCAGAGGAATGAACAAAGTAGTCTTAGAAGAACTATAATCAGAATGTTCCTTAGAAGCGTGGATGGTGAGACTTTGTCTCACTTTGGACAACGCAATAGGAAAGACCAATCCTGAGAAAAGGACACCACGTTTGGTAAAGTGAAAGGTCAGTGAGAATGGGAGAAAATTTCAATGAGATGGACTGACACAATGGTCTCAACAATGGGCTGAAATAGATCAAAGGTCACAGAGAAGAGGCAGTACTGGACAGCATTTTGTTCTGTTACACGGAAGGTCACCATGAGCTGGACCCAACCCAATGGCAAGTAACGACAGCAACCATCCATGAAAACAAGTTCTGAACAGTGTAAAACTTCACATTCATCGTTCTTGTCTTTGAGCTCATATTTCATTTCCATATACTTTTATCTAAATGTAATACATTTGAGGTACAAAATATTTTATCCATTATCTCATCATAGGCCTGTCTATGTGCAAGAAATTATGTATAGAAATAGACACGTAATTATTTAAAAGTTTCCTGTGAACATAGTCTCTAAATATTAGATTTTTTTTCTGATTGGGTTATAATTACAGTTATTTCAGGACAATCGATAACAACACATGAATTTTGATAAATAATTATTACACAGGAGTGAAATGTGGTTGAAAACGAACTCTTACAGTTCTAGAAGAATGTTAGAGAAGTTGGCTGTTTCCAGTTATTCCATGTAATCTGTGGATGAATGTTACTTATTACTACAATGATTTATAGCTCAGTATCAATATCAGTTCTATTCCTGGTTTTCATTTTCATAAATTTAGATGCCAAGAAACCTTCTCTGCCTAGATAAATTAATGGGCAAGGGAAAAGTTTTGTTACAGCCCTGTTACTCAATTCTGTGACCTCCTTCTCAGTTAGATGCCAAGAGTCACATAGTGATCTATCATCAGAAATTATGTTTTATTTTCCATTAATACATCATTTAAGTCCTTCTACAATTTTGCTGTAAATAATAATAATAATAATTGGAAACCATCAGACTTACAAACACTGTTTAATCAAGACACTGGAGTCATTTCCTTTCTTTCTCAATTGTTGTTGTTGTCAGTTGGCGTCAAGTCAGTCCCCAACTCATGGCAACCCCATGCACCAAGGGAGGCGATGTTGCTGGGACCTGTGCCAGCCCCATGGTTGGTTGTGGACTGGACCACTGTGATCTATAAGATCCTCAATGGCTGATTTTCAGAATTAGATCACCAGGCCTTTCTTCCTAGTCTATCTTAGTCTGGAAGCTCCACTGAAACCTGTTTAGCATCAGAGCAACACACAGCCTCCATGACAGACACATGGAGGCTGCACCTGAGGTGCATTGGCTGGTGTTTGGACCCAGTTCTTCCACATGGGAGGTGAGAATTCTACCATGAAACTACCACTGTACTCAATTCTATGTTACTCTCTTACTATGAAGACCCATACTTCAATTTGCCCCATTGTTTGGTGCTTCACAGGTTTAGAGACCCCATGTCAGGACATCATAGTAAGATGGCGGACAGGTCTGATGCCCTGTGTAAAGTAAAAGGACAGTTATGAAGTGGAGCCTGCGTCCTCATCACAGGCGGAATCTCAGGCAGATCTGCCTTGGGAAAAAGGACCTGTGCAAGTCGAGGATCTGAAAACGGCTTCTCTGAAAAATATCCAGGCCCCTGGGGCCCATGGATGGTCTTTCCTTACCTCCAATGGTGTGTTCTCATAGCCTGAAGCCCACTGTCTGAGACTCATAGGAAGTAAAAATGAATGTCATTGGAACAGCAGTTAAGAGCAGCCTCATACATACTAAACAGTCCTATGTGTTCAGAAAAACCAACTTCTTGTCTGATTTCTACAGCAAATGACCTGTCACTTAACAGAGATTAAAAAAAAAAAAAAATTGGGGATAGGAGCAGCCAGCCCATTCACAGAGTTGTGGAGAACATTAATTGACAATAAAGACAAAAACACTTTACATATATGCACAGTGGTAGTAATTTAGGTAATCTTGGTAATTTAGGTAATCTTGGTAATTTAAGTAATCTTGGTAATTTAGGTGTTTTAGCATCAATTTAGATATTAGTTTCTCAAAAACCAAAAACCAAACCCATTACCATCAAGTTGATTTGCACTCACGGCAACCCTAGAGGACAGAACAGGTGTGCCCCACAGAGTTGCCAAGGGCGCAGATCTTTACAGAAGCAGACCACCTCATCTACCTACAAATATTCAATACACATAGAATAATAACACGAATTTATTCTATGTGTATAGAATATTTTTATGTAGATGAGGCAGTCTGGTGGCATAGTACCTAAGGCATGTGACTGCTAACCAGACAGCTGTCAGCTCAAACCCACCAGCCACTCCTCGGAGGGAAGACTGGGCAATCTACTTCTGTAGTGATACCACCTCGGAAACCCAAGAAGGGGTCTCTATGAGTTGAATTGACTTGATGGCAGTGAGGTTTTGTTTTTTTTTTTTTTTTTGAATACACATAGAATAAAAGCACACAAAATCTCAGAAAGCAAACAGGCCATTTAACTACCAGAGAAAACATAACGTCTTGCTTCAGAAAAGAATTAACCAGTGTCACATATACAAACCCAAAGAGCAGAATTTACTTCACTCAGCTGGACTTCAAAAGTTGAGTTCACTACCAGAGGCTAAAATGCATGAATACTTTTCACCCATGACCCAGCACAGTAGAGTAACATCTCTCTCTCTTTTTTTTCCCCCTAACATTTTATTGTGGTTTTGATGAAGGTTTGCAGAGCAAATTAGTTTCCCATTCAACAATTTAAACACATCTTGTTTCATGACATTGGTTGCAATCCTTTTGATGTAACAGCACTCTTCCACTTCCTCCCTGGTTCCCATCTTCATGCACCCACCTTTCTGGCCTTCTGGGCAAGTACTGCCCTGTTGGTCTCGTCTGTTTGGCCTATTGTTTGGCTGACAGGTGATCCCTGGAAGTGTGTTCCATTCCAGGCTTGAAGGGTGGCTAAGGGTCGTAGCCTCAGGAGTTCCATCAATCGCTATCAGACAGGTAAGTCTGGCTTTTTTATGATTCTGAATTCTGTTCCGCATTTATTCTCTCTCTCTGTCCAGGACCTTCTCTTGTGATTCCAGTGAGAACTGCCTTTTTAATGAATTTTCTCAGTTTTGGAATTGCATGGATTAAAATGTCCTTCCAATACTTTTTCCACCCACACATTTTCTTTAATATAAAACTGGTTATCTTTTTACTCTCTCACAAGAGAAATAGCCAAAAAGGATTTTTATCATACTTCATGTTAAAATTAGTTTAAACTAAATGTCTACATGATTAAAGTGCTATGACACCGTAACATTTTCTAAAGAACCATGACAGCTCCTGGGCCAGACACTGTCTGCCCCTGTGTGCTCACCTCTGTATCCCACGGGCTAGTCACAGAAACTCCATTTCCCAGCCTCCTTTGCCAGCTGGGTTGTACTTTGGTGTGGCCAGTGGGAGGTCAGATGGCAGGAAGAAGGTAGAAGCATTCTGCTTCCGGACAGGCAGCAGCCCTAGCCCCAATGATAGCAGTGACCACAGCGGTGGCTGCAAGAGGCAGGTTTGAACTGTATCCTCCAAAATGCCTTGTTGATGTCCTACCTGCCCTGAACATGACCTTGCTTGGAAATAAGGTCATATTAT